GTGTGTGTGTGTGTGTGTGTGTGTGTGTGAGTGTGTGTCTGTGTGTGTTTATGGGAGTGTGTATCTCTGTGTGTGTGTGTGTGTGTGTGTGTGTGTGTGTGTGCATCTCTGTGTGTGTGTGTGTGTGTGTGTGTTTGTGTACTTGTGAGAGTCAAATTCTTGCAAGCTTCCTCACAAATACAGTACAATCTCTTTACAATGTCTGGTGCAGATGCACTTGACTTTCAAAAAGATTTATAAATGGATAAATGTAATTAAATCTATCAAGGCCAAAGGATGTCTGTTAGGGGTTAATGAGGGCAGGCTTGAATTAACTTTTTTTTAATTCTGAGAATTTCAGAATGAATAATTCTTACGGTTCAGGTTTAAAGCTGTATGAAACGGCCAAAAATATTACTGGGAAGGAAAAGATTTCAACATGTTTATAAAAAAAGAACATAACTTGTTTGTTTACAAGCAAACTCCACATTCAAGCCAGATTTATTTCTATAGCGTTTTATACAGTACAGACTGATTCAAAGCAGCTTCACAGTAATAAACAGGAAAATAACAGTGTTAATGTTGTAAAACTAATCAATTATGAAACAAACTCGACTTCAGCAGTAAAGCAGCTCTACAGAAGACAACAGCGTGATTATTCAGATCAATTCAGATTCAGTGTTGATACCTGAATAAACTACTTTTTAATTTAGGCCCTCATGAAATCAGTTTTATTTTTTCCCAATTTCTGTGTTTTTGGGGCCAATGGGGTCAGAAAAATAAACCCGTTTTCCCTTTATATTCTTCATAAGATATCTGTTCTTGTTTTAACCACAAAGTAACTTAATTTTGATTCATTTACGCTTTAATTGAAAACTCAGTTTCTCAGAAACCAACACTTAATATCTTCTGTCATTGTCCTACAGAAAATGTGTCTTGATTTAAGGATGTTTAGATATTTGTAGTGGGGAAAAAAGACAAAATAAAAACTGAAGAAGAACATAATTTTTGCAGTGAAAAAATAAATAAATAAAATACATCAAATTTAAATAAATAAATGAAAAATTGATTTAATTTATGAATTATAAAATCACATCCTCAAGTGTAAAAATACCATATCTTTACCGTTTTCCACCATGTTGCTGAAGGTTCTGGCTAGCTCCATCAGGAGGGCCGTTCCCACTCCAGACTTCACGGCTCCGGGGCCCCACGAGTCCCTCTGGGCCCCGATGATGATATAGTGATCTGAGAGGAACACACACCACCGGTTAATACTCATCTGCTGATGTACCGCTCTCTTAATCTTATACGGTGCGCCGGCGGTCTGACCAGGTTCGACTTTGCCCTCGATGGAGGCGAAGATGTTGTTGAGCAGCACTGGCTTCATGGTGTTATAGACGGCCATCTTCACCCTGCGCTCGCCGGGCCCCGTGAAGCCCGGCCCCAAAACACACTGAA